GGAGGCATTCTGGTCTGCAAAAGCATGCTTCACCGTGACTGTGTAGAGAACGGAAGACTATTCGGGAAGAGCGGCTCTTAGAGCCACAGATTTCAAGAGTTTTGGCTGAACGAACTGGAGGAACATGTCATGTCCACCAGAATCATACAATTTGGGTATAATGCAGTTGCTGTCAGAACCCTTTCCGAAGTGTATACTGTGATTAAATAAATCGTATTGGTTCAGCACCTCTGAACCAGAATATAAACTAGTATCTAAGCATTCTGTTTTCAATGTTTTACTACAGTTGTCCCACCCGTCTTTGTACCTCACCGAGAGGAAGTGCTTTGCACACTTTTGGGAGTGAAGGAAACTAGAAGAGGAAGGAGATAGGGTAGAGCCCAGATCATTGGAGCAGCAAGGACTGGGGAATGCAATTTTGGAGGGGTGAAGTGGCTACTGGGAGGTGGCTTCCAAGAGAGGGTTTGTGGTCACACTCCATTCTGAAATGAAACAGCCACAAAGTTAGGTGGTGGAAGGGGGGGAGAGGAATATAGGTTTGTTTGTATGGCAGTGTGGCCCATTGCCATATGGCCCAACTGTTGTAGAACAGCATCAAAAGGTTCATAACAAAAGAGTGAGGTAAGCCTTTCGGGAAATGCTCTAAGAGGTCAGCAAGAGTAAATACTGACTTTCTGGCTTTGGCAGATTTATAAAGCTGCTGTCAGAGAGCAGTTGACCCAAAGTAAAAGAGCAAATCCAGGGCACTGTTTACTTTCCCTTATCATGTAAGCACTTCATCCACTCCTAGAAGCTTTCCTGCACACACCTAATCTCACAGTGGTTGTGAAATTGATCATTGCAGGCCCAGTCACACAAAGGAGCTTATTGTGCAACCGTTCCTACTTTTTCTGCATCTAGCATTTGGCTCCAAAGAGTTGTTAGTTACTATTGTAATTAATTAAAAAAAAAAACTCCTGACTTTCCAGTTTTTTCAAAGGAAAATAGTTACTTCTGAGTTACTTTAAGAAATCTGAACAGTTTTCATGAGTCCTGATCAAGCCCCTCTCCTTACGGCGACTCAGACATAGTGCGTTCGCTTGCCTGGAGGCAGGAGCACCCAAGGAGAGTCAGATGTGATAAGAGACTGTGGAAGTTTGACTGGAACCATCTCTCCCCTCTAATACCTGTTTAGTCTCCCAAACATTGAGGGTGCTCTAGAGAGTTTAATACACAAAGAAAATTCCCAAGGTTAGGTACTGAGAAGGAGAGCGTCAACAAGCTGGATAGCTCAGTAGTTTAGAGCTCTGGCTTCAAAGCCAAAGGTTGGGTGTTAAGTTCCTCACTGGGCCTCCTTGACAGAGGCTGGACGTCCTTGACAGAGGCTGAACAGGCATGATCCATAGGGTACTTTCCATCATTGCAGTTCTGAGAAAACCCTGCCAGGTAGCTGACATCAATCCCACACACAAACAACAGCATGATCCATAGGGTACTTTCCATCCTTGCAGTTCTGAGAAAACTCTGCTAGGTAGCTGACATCAATCCCACACACAAACACTGCGAAAAAAAACCCTGGTAGCTGGGCAAGGCTTGGACTGGTTTTAGTACCTTCCATTCTCTATATCCATTCTCTATTTTGAACTGATTGGTTCAAAATTGGGAACTTAAAAGGATTTTTGTGGCTTTTTTTTAAAGGGGGGGAGAACAGTTAAAAGGATAAAAGGGTAAACATTCCAACCAGTCACAAGAAACTTTTTTTCAAAATGTAGGAGCAAATATGGACACAGACTGCATTCAGGAAGAAAACACACATACAAAAAATGTGCTAAATTATCCTATCTATATAAATGCCTGAGTGATTATATTTCTGGGCATACACAGAGTGCAGACTCCTGGCACAGTGTAGTAAGATGGTGAATGGACTCCACATCTATTCACGAGTCAGACTGAGTCCCTTCAGGCACTGGGGGAACAAAGCATGGCTCTCCTCACTGATATACTAGGCTGACTAACTATATTCCCTAATCCATTTTATTATTTGTTTGTCTTATTTATAAGCTGCCTTTCTCCTGTTCAGGAGACACAGCGGAGCTCACAGTATTAAGCAGAATTAAAAACGAAATAAATTATACATTAAAAATAATTAAAATGGCTTAAAATATATTAAATGATAACATGTAAAACGCTAAAAACTATCTTAACTAAAAATGGCATTCAGGGACTCAGTCATTGTTAAAAGCCTGTCTGAAATGATTTTATTTATTTATTTATTTATTTCAGCATTCAAGGACTCAGTCATTATTGTTAAAAGCCTGTCTGAAAAGATTTTATTTATTCATTCATTCATTCATTCATTCATTCTATTTATACCCCACCTATCATTCGAAAGCATGCAAATGCAAGTAGATAAATAGGGACCACTTTGGTGGGAAGGTAACAGCATTCTGTGTCTAAGTCGCACTGGCCATGTGACCACGGAAATTGTCTTCGGACAAAACACTGGCTCTGTGGCTTTCCAAAGGGGATGAGCACCGCCCCCTAGAGTCGAACATGACTGGACAAAAATTGTCAAGGGGAACCTTTACCTTTACCTTTTATCTGGTCATTCCGACCACTTTAGGTGGCTTACAACATACAATACAACACAAATACAGTATAAGAAAAAATGATGGGTCTTCTGCTGTCAATGGAAGGATAAAAGGGAGGGAACCAACCTCATCTCTTGAGGAGGAGAAGCCACAGAGAAGGCTCTCTCTCATGTCCCCATCAACTGCCTGCATTGGCAATGGGACCAAGAGGAAGGCCTCCTCTGATTATTTTAAGCACTGAGAAAGCTCATATGGGAAGCCTTGATGCAAACCATTTAGGGCTTTATAGGTAACGACCAGTACTTTGAACTAGGCCCGGAAACAGACTGGTAACCAGTGCAGTTGTGGCAACAGGGGTGTTATGTGCTGCTCCCTAGTTATACAATTGAATTATCCATTTTACACCTGTTGCCAACTCCTCTTCAGTCCCACTTATAATCTGTCAGGGCAAAATGCAACTTCCTGATTTGATACCATTCCCATCACCCAGATCCACATAACTATCTTGGAGGAAGCAGGCTGAGTCCTTTCAAGTCTGGGTTACACGTAAGGAGTTAGTGTCCTTTTGGGGGCTGCATTGATACGTCCTCTGATAAACATAAGCTTGGAGTCATCTGTTCCCCAGCTCAGTCCTTTCTTTGAAGTGTTCAATAGCAGGAGATGATATGAAGGTGTAAACGTTCAGTTTCCATCGTCACCTATGCCTCTGAGAACAGCTTCCTAGGCTCACCGAAGTATTGAAGAATCCGGAAACTCAATTCTATATTTCATACACATCAAGTTCTCACTTTCTTTCCATCATAGAGCAACACAAGGCACAGTGTGACCCAAGCTCAGAGCGTGAATATTCTTCTGTTATTTAACATGCTTCTACTCCTGTAGCTATAAAAGTAAATGACACATTATAGTTGCACCTCAAAGCAAGTGAATTTGTCTCTCATTAACTTACATTTGCAATGTAATGCAATTCTACTTCAGTTATTTGAAAAATGAGTTAATTTCAATGTGTAGCCTGTATAATTAAAAATTGTAAACCGCCCGGAGAGTGCTTGTAGCACTGTGGGGCGGTATATAAGTCCAATAAATAAGTAAGTAAGTAAGTAAGTAAGTAAGTAAGTAAGTAAGTAAGTAAGTAAGTAAGTAAGTAAGTAAGTAATTCATAGTTTATTGCTTTTTAGTGAGCTATGTGTTAACTCCAGTTTCCTTCCCTTTTCTACAGCCCTGCTTGTTTTGTATTTTGCAAAAGGCTGTCAGGATGTTGCATACTCCCTCTGCCATTCATTCGGAGTTTGCTTTTGATCCGCGATTTGCATCCCTCAACTGCTCCCTCAACTGACCTTATGACTTGTACAGTCTTGTGACTACAGAACAAAATCTAGTAGCTCACCTGAATGAAAGGCAAATAGGGAATATCTTGTGGGTTCTGCAAACAGGATTTGAATGGCAAATATAAGGTGAGGTGTGTGTTTTTGTTATGTTCCTGATTTGAGGTGACTGGAACTGGAGAACAGGGGAGAGGCAGAATGTTGTCTGGGGATGTCTGGGAAGGATATGAGGTGGCAATTTTTCAACTTCAATTTCCTACTGCTGTCTGTTTTTGTCTCTGTTAATTGATTCCTCATGTCACAAGAGGACCCACCGACTCAATGTTCTCAGCACACTGGGCTGTTTCATATGGAGGGCTTGGTGTCATTATGAAACCACTGCTTTTCCAGTGTAAGCTACAATAGGGGCTTTTAATGGTTCTCTTACGTTCCAGTGTGTATTCTGTTCATACCAGTATGGCCAGAAAGAGTTGCATGGAGGAGTTGAGAACAGTTCTTTTTCTCATTTATTTTTCTGGTAATGTAGAATCACCATAATACCCCAGGGGCAATATTCTGGTCTTCAGAAGCTCTCTCTTCCAATTTTCATTTACAAAAATCGGTCAATCTGCTTCTGGAAGCATCAGTGAAAAGGGGGATCCCCTAAGAACCCTCCACATCATTTTTTTTAAAAAAGAGACAAAACCATCTGGGGACTTTCTATTTTTTTTATCCCCCCCCCCTTTTAAATCAAAGCCAGCCATTTCTGGGCTGTTTGTGGGTTGCAGCAGATGTAGGTGCATAAATGTGATCCCCAATCTCCTTGAGATTGCCTACCACTGCTTTAGTGCATCTGTAGGCAATATCCATTTTTTGAAAAGAACTGCTGAATAACTCAGCGGGTTTGACATCTAGCTGCAGAGCGAGACATTGGGAGTTGATAACTCACTGCTATCTTGAGAGAGGCCAGACTCCATGATCCATAGCCTCCTTTCCAGCACCGCAGTTCAAAGATGATGATGAAAACTATGTAAAACAAAGCTGGAACTTAATATATGTTTGGGCCCAGAAAAAAACCAAAAGTTTAGGGCAAAACTTTTTATGTTGATTTTTTTTTCCTCTTCAGTGCTTACCGGAAACCTGAAAAATCTGAGACCCAAACGAGGTTAGAATCTCTGTCCTAAAAGGGGGGGGAGGGGTGGTTTTATGGGCTATTTTTTCTTTCTTCTGTATTTTGTTGTAGTTGTTGGATGTTAGGTGTTCTTGTATTTATATGTTTAAATAAACATCTTTTTAAAAAAGAGATGATGATGAAAAACAAGTATATTGCCCACAAAACAGGGCTAAGAGCTTCCTTTTGCCCCCTCTCTTTTTACCTCAATTTGGTTGTAGCTTTTGTGCAGTTTTATTCCTCAGGTCTGATTAACAGTGTTTCTAAACAACTTTTGCCTTTTCCCCCATTGGAAGTAAGTAAGTAAGTAAGCAAGCAAGCAAGCAAGCAAGCAAGCAAG